ATGGTGATGTCAATAAACTGAATTGAAATTTTTTTTATTACACACTCATAATTATGCCAGCACATAAATATGCAAAGAAAATATGACAAATATCTTGTATTCATTTTTTTTTTTTTATAATTTAAATTTGATTTATTAAGTATCATGCTTTCTAAGTCTCTTGTAATGTGTATAACGGCCAATATACTGGATTGCCTTTTTTAATGAAGCTAAACCCTAATGTAGATTTTCCAAAGGGTTTGGAAAAGTTGGAATTCCATGAAATTCCAAACATTTCCATACAAGAGTCTAAAAGTGTTTTTGGAAGTTTTTGGAATCTTTTGGAATTTGAATAACAAATTTGGACTTAGACATTTTGAGGCTTGGAAAGTTGTGGAAATCTATGGAAAAGCTGATAAAATGAGAAACTTAGACATTTTCTGCTCTGGAAAGCTGTGGAAAATAACTTAGAATTTTTTCTTAAACTGTCGGCTCATAGTACAATTACGTCGGGATCGATGTTGGGCTCGATGAACAATTAATTTAAACAACAGCCCGCCAAAATTCAACAATTCGGCTGCCATGTTGTATTGTTGGACAGAAGAAAAGAGAGTGCCACAAAGAAGGGAACTGCTGTCATCATTAGCTTGGAATGGAATTTGTATTTTGACAAAAGATGCAGACATTTTAAGACCTGGTAGGTACAATGTACAGTATTTTATGTGTCCTTGAAGTTGAATGGATAATTGCTTCTGCTACTGTTCCTCAGTCTGGGCACCACACACATAGAATGCCCGACGGTGAAACCATTAGGGCGAGCGCAGTTTCATTTCTGTAATAATTATTGTACAAGTCAGTACAACTCTAAACATCGCTTATCAAAATATGTTTGAACAATGTGTGGATTTCAACCCAAATTTCCTCCCTTTCGTACATGCCTTAAACCTCGCTATATATGCGAGTGGCACGTTGCCAATTGCACCACGACAGTTCATGTTACATCGTACACACACATCATAACACTATTAGTGTCTCCAACACGATGCAACATCTAAATTGGCTATTTTTACCATGTTTACAAGGCAGAAGAAACGTGGTAGACTAATAATGCTCTATATGATATAAAGTTGTGCACAGCTTAGTTGCGGTAGACCCAAGCCTCTATTTAGTTTCACAGACTACCACCAACAAAGGCATTTCAAGACTTCCCTACTTTCAGACCTTTAGTGCTTGCACAGATAATTTAAATAAAGCTCCCCCCCCCATGCAGTGATATTATGGAATTCTCTTCCATGCTCAATGTTGGCAGCCTCTTTTTTTTCTTATCATAACGTTTACAGTAATTAATAATTTTCTTTCCTAATTGTGGGCAACCAAGTTTTGCATTTGGACAAGTCAAAGTTTGAGATCACTTGCCCAAAGAACAAGTGAATCTGAAAGTTAAATGTCTATCCCTGAAATATTAAAAATGACTATACTCTATGACATAAAATTATGCATGCATTATTTACAGGAATGCTCACAAAAAGGACAAGAGCTCAGAGCTGTATGGAAATTTACACAAAGGTAAGATTTTTTAATCATTTTCCTAATCAATAAAATAAAAAGAATTGAAATTATGTGTTTATCAATGTTAGCCAGTTATTATAAACATTAGACATCACTCTTTCAAATATTTTTTTAATTTCAATACTGAATTGTTGATGCATGGAAGTTACATGTATTTATAACAGTTTATTTAATATTTCCTTAATTTTTCAAAAAAAAAAAAATGTACATGTATTTGCATGTTTGAAGCCAGTAGAACAAATGTATTCTATATATTCACTTTATGTTATTTGCTTTGTCTATATTTTTGTTACATTGTAAATATGCCAATATGCATTTAAAGCAACTACATATGCATATAAATTCGTCTTTTCCTCTTTTCAAGGGTCAGTTAACAGATTTTGCAAATATGGAGGATAATACATCAAAGGCAGCATAGGTGTCCAAACTCCTGTTCAGGGTGCTTTTAATCAGAAGCTTAAGAGACAAAAGACGACCCATTGACAAGGCAAAACTGAATGTTTTATATGGTATATAAATTGTATTTACTAATGTGCATGTACTTTTTTTCATACCTTAACTTTATTTGCTGAATGTTTTTAAGGGTACATAGTTTATGTAATTTACAATGTTCTCTCTCATATTCAAGGTTAATTAACTTAGACACAATCATGTCTCTTTATTTATACACTTTAGTTCTATCCTTTTCTTTTTAGCTCACCTGAGCTCAAGGCTCAAGTGAGTTTTCTGATCAGTGTCTGGTGTTACATTTTTGACTTCTCAGAACCATAGGATCAACCAAACTTGTCACAAAACATCCTTGAGTGAAGGGGATTCAGGTTTGGCTTTCATACTTCATTAGGTGTTTCCTTGTGAGAAGGCCTTCCATTGGATATCAACATTTTGTAGATATCATACATCTTTATGGTAATCTTTTCTTTCAGAAATTGAGCAAGAAAAGTTTGAAGTGTGGGAATGATCAACATCAAACTTGCTGAGCTTTTGAAGCCGTCGTACCAAAAGTGAATCCATTCGTGACACCAATTATCTGACCACCCTCTAACAGAACCAGTGAGGAAGTGATTCTAGCCAACACTTCAGAAGTAGGATCTTGGGGCATGTTGGGGGAAAAAATAGCATGTGTTGATTTTATGGGATCTTCCAAATATAGTTGTGTAGTAGATATTTGTGTACTTAATACCTATGTTTGTCACTCTAGTCATTAACTTTGTATGGTAAATGTATATGGACCACTGGAAGATCATTGTAACTGTATACAAATGTTGCAAATATACCCTGTTAAGGCTTTAGTGACCTTTTCCAAGGTCATTTAATGAAGCAAAAGGTCATAATTAATAGGGTTTTTTTAAATCTATTTTGTTTTATTATCAAAAAAATGTCATATGTTTGAGATTAGGTACAAAGGATTTTCTTTAACCAAAAGTCATTTGTTTCTCATGCAGACTGTAATTTACTACATGTACATGCATGTATATTATAATAATTCTCATTAATTAAACCAAGGTGATCATCCAGTAATGATATTTTTCTGTGGATTTTTAACATTGTTTAAATAACCTTTGATGTAAAATACTTTCAGTGATAATACTTTTTAAAATTTGTGCTTACATTATACATAGAAGTGTGTATGCAACATTTGTCCCCAAACACATTGTACAGCAAAAATAATTTTTTTATTTTGAAAATATAGATTTGATTTATGAAAAATTGTGATGTCATCATTTTTGTTGTAATTATTTGGCCCTTAAATTATTTTGATTATTCCAGTTTTTTGTATTTTCCTGGAATTCCATAGATTTCCAAATATCCTGGAATTCCATGGATTTCCAGCTATTTCCGCAAATTTCTATTCTGGCATTGTTCCGCTCTTTTCCAGGCTAGATTTGAAATTCCATACCATTCTGAAAAAGTTCCGTCCCAATACTCTCGAGAATTCCTTGGAATTCCATGGAACACTTTTTCCATGGAATTCCACGGAATTTGTTATGGAATTCCACGGATCTTACGGAAAATCTACATTAGGGTTACAGGGAATAAGACACCACAAGGGAGTTGGCGAGTGTTTGGGAACATCTGTAACAATCCCTGTTACAATTATAACTAGTTTAAATTTCTATGCTTATTCAAAAAATAAAAAGTTAAATGAATTGAACTTATATGAAAATTCTTAGAATTCAAAGACAATGACATTCTTCTTTACATCACGTCAAACATCTGATTTTGTAAATAGGGCACAAGCTCTGTTATTGTTAATGTTTATGACTTTCACCGGGTGTGTTCAATTTGTTAAACTCTGCACACATCACTGAGCACGGACTGACAATACTGGTTTGTTGGTTTTGCTATCTCACATTTCTACTCTGATTTTCTGAATTATAGTTTTAATATGTTTCATTAATACACAACTTTTCTTAAGTATTAAGGTTAAAGTTTACTTTGTGATTGATTGATTGATTGTACGTTGTTTTACGTCCCGTTTGAGAATTTTTCACTCATATAGAGACGTCACCATATACCAGTGAAGGGCTTCAAATTTAGCCCTTTACTCGGCACTGAGGGCCATCGAACAGTGAGGGTTCTTTATCATGCCAACGCCCACCGTGATTTTAAAGTCTCATTCTTAAGACCCGCAACTTTCACTTCAAATTGCAAGCGCTTGGCAAAGGAACAGTTGTTACCCATTTTTCATCGACTTAGTTCAGTCGCGGCCGGGGCACGAACCCATGACCTTCTGATCACTTTGTGAAAGTGCAGGGATATGTCAATCAAACCCTGAAATTTATAGTTTCAATAATTTCCAGATAAAAGAAGTTTCTGGACACGCTTTTACTATATTTCCATGTGAAATGCTATATAAGTCATGATATTATACAGAAAATTTGAGAAAATATTAACTACAAATCTGTGTCCAGGCCCTTTTAACACTGCATTGTCTTTTCCTGTTTACATCATATCCTTGACATTGCAATGTTGGATGAAATCAAGTTGACATCGTTTCACCATTGCATTGCATTATCTTGTTAACATAAATAATATTGTCGACATTGCAATGTTGGACAACATCCTGTGCGATGTTCGTCAAAGATGTAGACAAAGAAATAATTAAAATGCAGACAATATAAACATGATTTATAGTATAAATGAGAAGACAATGATATTGAATTGGTAAAGTGGACTGGACATGAATGACATTTCTGGAGTAAAAAGTGAAAATGTAAAGTTAATCGACAACAGATTGATCAGAAAAACTTGCATCAATTCAGCTTAAAAGTGATCAACTTATAGTTGAACAAATAATCAACATTTTGTAGCATCATATCCTCTTTTAAGGTGTCTACCTTTAATTGACACAAATATTAACATCTTAGCAGTAAATCTAGACCACTTGATTGACTACCTTCAAAATTGATAAAAAAAATATAGCAATAAAATTAAACCACTTTAGTGATTACCTTCAAAATCCACATCTCCTACAATTTTAGTCCTCCCAGTTCCCTCATCTTTGATTCGATTGATACCAACATCAATTATAGTAGCTCCTTCTTTGATCATGTCAGCTGTAATGAGTTTAGGTATTCCTGTTGCTGAAACAATTATGTCTGCTGTCTTTGTGAATATAGTCAGTTGATCTGGTGGTGTATACCTGTGACATATGGTTGTAGTTGCATCACCTGGAGGTAAGAAACACAATTTTGATTTACATATACAAGGTACAGTGATGCACATTAAAGTGGTAAAATTTCAGTTTGAATGGAAAATTTGGAGTTTACATAATGACATTTCTTCAGAAAGGAAAAAGCCACCAAATGCTTAATTTGAGGTATTTGATAAATACAACAGCCAATCAGATTGCCAGTTTACATGAACATTGAGTAAATGTGTGTTTGATCAATACATGTTTGTGATAACTTCAATAAGCATGATTAATTCCTAATTATGAACACGTTTGTTGCAGTATGCAAGTTTTACAGAATTGGGGGGGGGGGGGGGGGGGTGTGTCTCTAACTCACCCCATGCAATCTTAATAAAATCCCCATTTCAGCAAAACCTGTGTTGCTAGTCGCAGAGAGTGGGAGTCTTAAAATTGACATTGTTGTGATGAATATTGTTTTTTAATTTCAAAGGAAACAGGCATGTCATCACCATTTCAAATAAAAAAAAAAATATACGAGTGTTGTTCGAAAAGTTCGCGGAGCTGTCATAATTTTTTTTAATAAACGTCATATCGTTTCCAAATTTGGTAGCAATGTTTCAACAATAAATTCAAAGAAAATTTGTTAAGATTTTTTAAAATATCATGATTTATTTCATACTTATTTAGATTTTAAAATGATGTAAATCGGATCATGGGGCAGGTCAAAATTTCATTGTTAACAATTAATACACTAAAAAATGTCTGTAATCATATCCTCTGTAAAATTGCACAAAAACAGAAAATTCTAGACATCCAAATTGATTCATCATTTCATATTCTAAATTATGACTTAATAGTTTGCTTTCTTGAAAAGAAATCAACTTCAGAAGATAGGCAGTACTCATTGAAAGGGGCAAAAAAAAGATGACGTCGTAGAACATCACAGAGCACCAGTTAACGATAAAATTTTATGCTGTACTCTGGAAAACTCCAGAAAAAATTCTCAAAATGCTTGAAGAATACAAAATATGTCCAAAAAACGAGCCATACATGTGTATGTACATTGCACAGACGGTATTTTAACACCGATATGACCGCGGCTTGCTGATCTCTGCGGCCACATGTGAATGAGGAGTGGGTTACAAAATTTAAATACAAAGCGACAGAGCAGAATGTAAATTGTGTGCTGTAAGAAGGCGTGAATTATTGTATGTTTAAAAGTACAATATGAGTACACACTGCATTCTAACACCGATATGACTGCTGCTCGCTGATTTCTGCGGCCACATGTGAATGAGTAGTGGGTTGCAACAGAGCTGAATGTAAACTGTGTGTTGTAAGAAGGCATGAATTATTGTATGTTTAAAAGTATTATTTTATGTACATAGTTTATTTAATATTAAATGAAAAATTAAATAAAGAAACAAGAGACTGATAGTAAAAATTATATGTAAATTGCTTTACACAAGTATTAATACTTCCATCACTAATTGCAATTATTTGCCGTAGCACCTTTTGAATTACAATTGAAATAGAATACAATAACACAGGATAGAGAAATTATTTTTTTTTTTTAAATCATATTGTTGTGTCGACAGTGAACAGGCCGGTGAAAGTGATTAAAATTCAAAATTTTATGCACTAGTGTTTTGAATTAAGATTAAATCAAAGATGAGATTAAGTTATCTTAAAGATGAGATTAAGTTATCTTAAAGATTTGATATAAATAAAAAAAACATAATGTTTCATTAAATTGTTGTTTCTACACAATGGATTTAAAACGTGATCACAGATGTTTGATTTGTTTACATGGTTTATGACCGCAGGTGGCTGGTACACTGGTGATCTCGGCAATGTGGGATCGCGGGTTGTGTTACATAACTATAAACATCGAGGTGAACATGGAGAACGTAAAATGCGTACAGTTAATGATCATTAATTATTCAATGCTTAAAGCTTAATATTACTTATATAGTTTGTTTTGATAATAAATGAAGACAGATACATTTAATTCCTTCCTTTATTTGAAGATGTGTTCCCTTTAAAACTAAATTAAAAAAGAAAAGAAAGTTGTAAAAAAATTATTTATGAATGAACCACAGATCACGTTTAAAACCTTATTTAGAAGAAAATTAGCATTGAATACAGTAGGGTATATTATTTATAGCAAGTTTGTTTAAGTTATACACATGAAGAGTTCTGATTTACTTGCCAAATGAAAACACTTACCTGTTTACAGGACCTGCTTTTTACCTACATATTACACAATACACGAACAAAACAACATTTTTATGAGATCAATAAGGTGTTAAAGAACAACTTTTATTCTGAAAGCCATATCGAAATATTTAGTTATAAAGCAAAAACTTTCAAGGGCTCTAGATCCCTAATTTTAGGGGCCAGCCCCTTTTAACTGATATCAAATGAAAGCTCTTGCAATTATGCATAACTTTTATTCTACATGTTTTAACAAATTATTTTTAGTTTTAAAGATATAAAGGAAAATATGTCAAAATTTTTGCTCTTTTCCGCGTTCTAACTTTTGACCCCTCTCCAGCGCCATTTTTAATGCAAAAATCAAAAAACAAAAACCAATATGCACAACTTCAATGCTTTTTCTTTTCAATTTTTTAACCTTTTTTCAAAGGTTTTAGTGCTCCAATTATTATAGTTTCAGAGCCTTTGTCTGGAAACCAAAGGCATTAAAATTTCAATCAAAGGGGAATAACTCGTGAACTGAAGGTAATTTCCAAATTGTATTACAGTATTCTGGAAAGTGTTTTGTAAAGTCTAAAAGCTCTAAACATTTGAACAAAATTCGTTCAGAAATGTGGAAAATATGAAGCTTCAGAGGAGACATCTAGGGAAAAAAAAAAAGAATAATAAGAACTAGATGCATGCTTGTTGCTAAGGCAACAAGTGGTCTTCCGACCGACTCTTTGCTGACAAAAAAATGCTGCAATACCTCAATGGAAACAAACCTAAACGTCAAATTTTCTTATGTATTCAAGTACTTCAGGTTTTCAAAAATAAACCATCATTACTACAATTTTTTTTCAATAAAGTTCGTAAAAACAAACCTTTAAAACATCGGTGAAAAGTACGAAACAGAAATGTCGTTTTTAATTGAAAAAAGAGGGAGAAAATGAAAAAAAAATTTTGCCGCCAGTTTGAATCAGCCATATCATGTCATCAGAGAAGTTGACTCCTTACTCAAAAGGTAACAGTTTTACTTTATGTATTCTCAGTATCTGTAGCTGTATTCCTATATGAAATGTAATAAAATGTTACATTGATCAAATATCACAAAATTCGAAGAGAATAGATACCAGACATCATTTTGAAGATAAAATTTATATTTAAGCTGAAAATAGTAAATTAGTACAGACATTCTGGGGATCATACCGGGGTCGCCCGCGTGAAAATCCAACATGCTAAATATAACCATTGCGCTAGCAAGGACCACCGCTTCGAAGTGAAATTTGACGAATATCTAGAGTATGAGTTGATCAATCTTAAAACAAATTATATATTTATTCTTCTTATAAGACTCCTTATTAATCAAGTAAATTCCATATAAAAAACATTGAAAAACAAAAAAGTTGAAAAATTAGACTTTTTGAATTCACTTCCGTTCGCGACCGGAAGTAGGAACGACGAAAAATAAAGGTCGATCAGCATATCTACATGTAATGCTCTATCATGTCCGTGAGTTTCACTTTCGTATCTTCCGTCGTTCTCAAGAAAATTAGCGGACAAAATTCCATTTAAAAAATACAAATTTCCCCCAAATTCGCGAACGGAAATGATTTTCAAAAAAGTGAGGGACACCCCTGGAGATATTTTCATGATGGATCTTCTCTGAAAAAAATCTTTTGAATTGAACCACACACAGCTGAGATATCGCCTGTACTATGAAAAGTGGAATAATAATAATAATAGAAAACAGAAGGAAAACAATAAGGTCTTCCGAAGGAAGTCGGAAGACCTTAACTAGAAAAACTGCTATTGCAAGCTGAGTGAATGGCGTATGTCACCCCGAACTGAACCATAAGCTGTAAGATTTTTCCAATGCTTAAAAAACTAAGTATTCGTAGAAAAATCTCTTCCCCCTTCTCACTCAAGTTATATAAAGTATTGTCTAGAAAAAAAAATTGATTTATAGAAATCTGATTGGAGTAAAATAAAATTATAATTTTTTCTCTGATATCAGGAATAACAAGAATGTCTTATGTAGAAGACGGAAGACCTTAATTTAGAGAATAACAGGTTCACGTCAAAACATGGCTGACGCAAAATAGATCCTGAATTTTTCACTTCAATTCGGGCATTTTTGCATAGGACATGGATAATTTTTTTATGAGATGATAAAATACGTGTAAACTCTTTGTAAGTTTTATAATTAGCAGAATCATAAACATTTCCAGTGTGCTGAATGTACAATAGTGATGAGGCTTTCACACACCTGCAGGAGTGGATCCCAAGATTTTCAAATTAATAAAAAGATGGAAATTAATTGAAATAATTCTAACTATCAATGAATGAAATTATTCATATGCAAGTAATACATTCACAAGAAAACGCAAAATGCTAACGAATACTGCTGACAATTACTACTCTTCAAAGATAAAATTCTAAATAAAATAATTACAGTCCCTGAAACGTTCTACTTTCCCACTTGAACGGTGAGCAAATGCTGAACGAATCTGAGCGAACGGTGAGCAAACGCAGAGCGAACGGTGAGTGAACCATGTGTGAATGCTGAACGCAACTTGGTTAACGGTAGGTGAACACTGAACAGTGAGCAAATGCAGAACGAGACCGGAGCGCAAAGTGTACAGTGAACGCAAGATGAACAATTTATTGGGAATGCCTCTTATCTTTTCCATGCATTGCATCTATTCTATATTGTATTCTAATGTCAGGCGGAAAATAAATAAATAAATAAATATTCAAAAATTGTCCTAAGAAAGATGAAACATGCACATTTAGTAAAACTATTAATTAAGTTTCTTACAATATTTTCTGCACATATGT